CTTCTCTTCTCTTCTCTTCTCTTCTCTTCTCTTCTCTTCTCTTCTCTTCTCTTCTCTTCTCTTCTCTTCTCTTCTCTTCTCTTCTCTTCTCTTCTCTTCTCTTCTCTTCTCTTCTCTTCTCTTCTCTTCTCTTCTCTTCTCTTCTCTTCTCTTCTCTTCTCTTCTCTTCTCTTCTCTTCTCTTCTCTTCTCTTCTCTTCTCTTCTCTTCTCTTCTCTTCTCTTCTCTTCTCTTCTCTTCTCTTCTCTTCTCTTCGGCCCAGACCTTTTCTCCAGTAAGATAAGACCACGTGGAAATACTTAGATTTATAGAAATGGTAGACAGAGCTAGCCAATAAGAAGCCATACCCAGCAGCCCTCAGCTTTATAACTAATGTAGTGTAAGTGTGTTTATTTGGAGGACCTGCAGGGCCAGAAAACTCACATTATACAAGAGGACCAGGCTACAGCTAAAACTGACAACAGAAGTTGACATTTCATGTGTGTACCATGCATGCATAATACATGAGTTACAGAATCATGCAGGATCCCACCAACATTCCAGAGAAAAGTCAGTGAGGTCAGTCAGTAAGTAGCAAGATCAGATTCTCTGAGGAAACCCTAAGAGGATGATGCATGAGGCTGTGAAGGTAAAACTGAAGTTGGAATGGAGACTTCGGGATATTGGAGATGCCAAGAACATAGGGCATCTGCCATGGCAAGTTGCATACACCGAGTGGAGGCAACTCAAGAACCCAGGTGGGCTGCAAGTGACATGACTATAGAGGAGATGCTACCCAAGCCTGACACCACATGCTCTCAGTGTTAGACATGGAGCTAGAAGGATTAACTTCCTGATGGCTTTGTTTTTCTTTGGTCTCATCTAAGTCCTCATTCCTCCCTTTTGGGATAGTAATGCCTATTCTGTGTCACTGTATGTGAAATATGTGAATCTCTTTTTAATGTTATAGGAGCTCACAGCTAAGGGACTGTCTTGAATTTCAGTAGAAACTGTAGACTTGTATGTCTTAGCAATATTGGAACTATTAAGACCTTAGGGACTCTGGAAGTTAGACTAGATACATTTCTCATTGTGAAATGACCATGAGCCTTTGGAGAGGAGGCATGGAATGTCCCCATTTAAATCTGAAATGTCATACATAGACTTGTATTTGCAACAATTGGTTCCCCGCTGCTAGAGCTCTTGTAGGAAGTTCTTAAAATTTTGGGAGGCAGAGTCTAGCTGATAGAAAGGGACAGACTTTTGAGATCATACCCAATCTCTGGCTACTGTCATGCTCTTTCCAAGTCTGCACTGCATACTCCTGCACTGTGCTTTCCCTGATGTGATGGCCTGGAGCCCTCTAAACCCATGAGCCAAATTCAATCTTCTTCTCCCACACTCACCTTGACTTGTTTGTGTCATAGATTATGTTCACAGAGACACAAAAGTAATGAGTACACATGTAAAATTGCAGTGTTTAAATGTCAAACATGATCAAATATTGGAAATATAAAGGGATACAGAGGTGGCTCAGCGGTTAAGAGTACTTGTTGCTCTTGCAGGACCAAGGTTCAGTTCCCACATATAACTCCTGCTCTGGGGATTCTTATACCCTCTTCTGGCTTCCACAGGCACAGGCACACACATATTGCACAGACATACGTGCAAGAAAATGCATATACACACAAAATAAAACAAATAAATCATCTATACATATCATTAAAATTTAATTTAATTTTTTTCAGGCTAGACCTCCCACTATTGTGCTTTTTTGGCCCCATTCCACTGCCAATTTTCCATAATTTCACAAAGCATTTTTATTCTAATCAAATCTCACCATGCCACTTTACAGCAATTTAAATTTGGTTAAAGACATTAGGCATCAAGTACAACAATCATTCCACTTTTTGCTTTTAATGTGCTTTACTTATTCTCCAACTTATGACTCTGGCAACAAGAAGGTGAAGCACAGATAACATACAAAGTGGGAGAGACATCCGAAAAATTTTTAAGAGTTTGGTGTCTTGAGAATTTAACAAAAAAAAACAAAGGATCTGGATAGATGCTATTAAAAAGAAGATACTTAAGTGGATAATAAGTACATGAAAAAACACATGCTTAATACCATTAGCCATTAGAGAAATGTACACTGGAGTCACAATGATATACCACTTCCTGCTTAGTAAAATGCCAAAAATGACAAATAATAACACATATTGTCAAGAATGTAAAGCAAATAGAACCCTCAAATACAACTCCAGTGAGAATGAAAAATTATGCACTTAGGAAAACAATTTGAGAGTTCCTAAAAGGATAACCACGGAGTTCTCCTATGAACCATTTATTCAATTTGTAAGGTATGTGTCCAAAGAACTGAGAACATGCCCACACAAAAACTTACACATGAATATCTATAGCAAGCAGCATTATTCATAGTAGTCAAAAGGTGGCTAACTCAAATGTCTACCAAATGATGAATGAATACACAAAATGTACTAAGTCCATATTTTGAGGTATTATTTAGTAATTTTTACACTTACTTATTTTTTTATTACATGAGTATGTATCTGTGCATTCAGGCATGCACATGCCACAGCACATGTGTAGAAGTTAAAAGACAACTTGCAAGAGTAAGTTCTCTCCTTCTGCCACTCAGGTCATCGGGCTTGGTGGCAAGCGTCCTACTGAGCTATCTAGGTGGCCCCAATTCAACAACATTTTATACAGAGTGAGAGCTGAGGAGGAATTCAGCTCAGTGGTAGAGTGCTTGCCTACCATTCAGGAGGCCCTAGGTTCAATTCCCAGCACCATAAGGGTTGAATAAATAATAGTAATGAATTTCTGATACTACAATGTGAATGAAACCTAACTATACATAAAATATTATAAATAAAAGAAGCCAGTTAACCTAAAAGGTAACACTTTTGACTTCAAATACATGAAATGTCTACAGCATATAATCCACAGAGACATAAATAAATTGGTGGCTACTTAGAACTCAGGGGATTGAAGCAAACTGGATTAATTGTTAATGGGCACATGTTTTCTTTGTGGAATGTTAAAAATGTTCCCAAATTAAATAATGATGATGACTCTCCAACTCTGTGAATATACTAAAAACCACCTAGTTGTGTTCTGTAGCATACAAATTTTATCTTAAATACTGGGTTTTTTATTGTTTTCAATGGAAAGTTGAGTTCCCAAGAAAAACTGGAAAATGGAAAAATGTATTGTACATAAGTAAGCCAAGAACAGAGCAGTGAGGGGTTACAGCATTTCATTAGGCTGGAGTTCAGGTCAATATCCTGTGTCTGACTCGCCATAAAAGAACAAACTGATCACTGTTTTGTATTCTAACTCTACAAAGTAAAGAAAGAAAATATGAGGGCTGGGGAGGGGGGCAGATATCTCTGTCTGCAAAATGCTTTCAAACACAAGGACCAGAGTTCAATTCTCAGAATCCACACTGAAAAAACTGTCAGGCATGGTGGTGGATACCTGTAACCCCAGAGCTCATGATGCAGAGAAAAGGAGATCCCTGGGGCCAGTCAATTAGTGAGCTAGAGGCCAGTGAGAGATCCTGTCTCAAAAGGAGGTGGTAGAAACACCTGAAGGTAACCCCCAAGGTTGTCCTCTGGCCTTCACAGACTCACACACTTGTACATAGGCATGCACTACACAAACATAAGAATGGAGGGAGAACGGGTGGGGTACACTTCTAGCCTATGAAAATCAAAGATGAGGCTATGGGAGTCGGGATATTATCTACACAGGCTAATTATTGACCCTGACATATCCTGACTCTATAGGGCAGCTTAGGATATACCTTATTCTCTCTCTCTCTCTCTCTCTCTCTCTCTCTCTCTCTCTCTCTCGCTCGCTCGCTCGTGTGTGTGTGTGTGTGTGTGTGTGTGTGTGTGTGTGTGTGTGTGTTGAGACAGGATCTTGTAGCTCAGTCGGGCCCTGAATTCACTATGTAGCTAAGGCTGGCCTTGAACTCCTGGCCTTCCTGCCTCCACCTCCCAAATGCTTGGATTACGGGTGTGCAACACCACACCTGACTATGATACCTTATTTTTTTAATGTCATCTGTCCGGGTTTCTAGACATGCCAAAACAGAAACAGCATATAGATGCAAGGTAGCTGGTGTTATATTACTAATGTCTATAATTATGGTTAACTAAAAATTATTCTGTATAATTATGAATTATGAGCACAAGCTAGCGTAATATACCACCTGTCAACAGTTAGCTAGGAAACTGTAAGAATTACATGACTACTATCAAAGGCACAAATGTATGTCTCTTTTAATTGTTGTGCCATGTAATTTTGCTGGAAGACTATGAAAAATAAGCGTGAGGCAAAATGGTGTTTATATATTTCATCTATCTGATAAACAGATTCTTCAATAAGCCCGTTCCCTTCCTCACTTCCTCCCCTTACCCTATCTCCATTGCTTCAAATGAAACCAGTGGTCTCTTACATGCTAGGTAAGCACTCTACCTAACTGAGCAGCATCTGCCTTCTCTCTGTCTTTCCTTTAAAGTGCTCTAGGATATAGAGATGGCTCAGTGGGTACAAGCATTTTCTCTGTAAGCATGAGGACCTGAGTTCAGATCCCAGCACACATGTAAGGGGCCAAGGTGTAATCCTAGTGATGTGGAGGGCAGTGACAGGAAGATAGCTGGGGCTTCCTGGCCAACAGCCTAGCTGCAGGTTCAGTGAGAAACCCTGTTTTGAAGGAATAAAACAAAAGGTGATAGAGAACGTTTACTTGGTGGTCATCAATTTCACAGTGATTCATGATCCACCACTGTAAGTACAGCAGCCTACACAGGCTGCTATCAAACAAACACCCAGGCGTAGTAGAGCACATATTTAATCCCAGCACTTGGGAGGCAAAGGCAAAAGGAGAATCTCCAGGTTCCAGGCAGGCTGGTCTCCATAGTGAGTTCCAGGACAACCGGGGCTACATAGAGAAACCCTGGCTCGAAACAAAGAAACAAAAAAACACTCATATATTGGGTGGCTTGAACAACATTTATTTCTACAGTTCTGGAAGCTAGGAAGTCCCAGATCAAATGCCAGTGTGCACAGGTTCTGGGGAAGGGCCTCTTTCTGACAACTGCCTTCCTGCTGCATCTTCACAGGATGGACAGATAGAGTCTGTAAGCTCTTTGGCATTAAGCCTGGCCTCATCTAAACTTCTCCAGAAAGGTCCATCACGCAGGGGTTAGATCTGCAACAAATGAATGCAGGCAGCTGTGGGTTTCCAGCAACATTCAGTCCATAACAGTTGGAAAAGAAGGTCAACTTAAAAAAAAATGAGAACTGTATATATGTATTGGCTTGGCAAGAGGAAGAAAGACTGGGTTTCTATATTTGAAAACACTTTAAGATAAATTTCAATGTAGAATACTTACATGCTGGCTATTGCTCACATTGGTGACTTTCTTTTTCTTTTTTCTTTCTTTTTTTTTTGGCTAGGTTTAATTCCATTAATGAAGAAAAAGATATTCAAGAAGTTACACAATATACATAGAGTCACACAGCAGGAAATGGGAAATCTGAACACACTTAGATGTGCTTCCAAAGCCATGCTTCTAACCTCCGCACTTGGGCATTCCAAGTTTTTCTTGTCTAGTTTTTCTTTCTTTTGTTCTTTTTAAAAATAGATTTTTCACACAATTATATTCTTATGATAGTTCCTTTCCTCCAAATCTTCCCAAACCCTCCCTACTTCTCCATCTATCCAAGTCCACACCCTTTCTTTCTCTCTCTCTCTTTAGAATACAAACAGGCATCTAAAAACAATAAAAGAAAACAAACAAACCGTAAGAGGACAAAAAAACAAACAGAAGAGGAAATAGCCAAAGAAAAAGCACAAGAAACACATCTAGACACTGAAACACACTTATTTGCACACATGGAAAACCTATAAAAATAAAATTAGAAATCATAATATATAAGCAAAAGATCAGTAAGGGGACAAAACAGCTAAACAAAGCATTGAGAAACAAAAAAAAATACCTCTGAAAATACTGCTGGGTTAGCTTTGTGTTGGCCATCTATTGCTGGACATGGGGCCTGCCCTTAAGTGTGGTTTGTATACCCAGTGACACTCTGTTGGAGAAATGGCTTCTAGGTTAGGAATGGGGTGTGTGCCTACTTCCCTTGTCGGCACTGGGATCTCATCTGGCTTAGACCTGTGCGAGCCCTGTACATACTGCCACAGTCTCTGTGAGTTCGTATGTGCATCAGACCTGTTAGGTCTAGAAGGACTTGTTTCCTTGCTGTCTTCCGTGCCTATGGCTGTTCATTGGTGACTTTCTTTAATGGGCAGTTCATTTATAAAAATGTCTTCCATGCCTCCAAGGATGACAGGCACAGGTGACAAGTGATCTGTGTAGGAGTAGCTTAGCGGTAATAGTTGGTCATAGCTACTGACCTTTCTAAGCCAAAGCAACAAAGAGAAATGTAGCTCTGCAGGTATTTTCATTGTGAATCCAAAGAGATTGGGAAAAAGAAAGATCAGTCCTGTGGAATTTCATTTTTTGTTTTTTGTTTGTTTTCAAGACAGGATTTCTCTGAGTAGTCCTGGCTGCCCTGGAACTCCCCCTGTAGACCAGGCTGGTTTCAAACTTAGAGATCTGCCTGCCTCTGTCTTCTGAGTGCTGGGATTAAAGGCATGTGCCACCATGCCCAGCAGAGTCTTATTGGAAAAGGTGGATTCCAAATCTGAGTCTTTGATTTCCCATTTTTGACTTCTAGAAGTGGTGTGAACCACCTATTAAAGGACATAATATTGTATCATGAAGGCTGAGAAAGATTCATTTACTCAGATGCCCAAAAGTCATATTATTTGAGCAATATATATAATTCTTGAGTCATTTTCAGCATAGTAAATGATGTTCCCTGTTACTGAAATATTACAGTTATTCCAAGTTGCTGGGACATTTTTCTGGTTACAGAGCACTGAAAAAGTGTTTAAAGTTCTGCAAGATAGCAAGGCAAGGAAAGTATTCCCACATACTAATGGGTCTCTGGAAGCCTAGGAAAGAGAAATATATTTGGAGGATATATAGAGTGCTTGTGTTTGTTTAAAGAGAAAGATTAAAGGACAACTCATTTGCCTATGTTTGGGGATGGGAAGTAAGTAAGTCATGTTTAGTCTTTCACTAGATACACTCCATCCTCCCAGACTTGCCTTCCTCCTACTTCTAACCTATGACTTCCCTCTATTTGTGGACTTCGGAACTATATTCCCAACTTTACATGCCTTGCATATAACTGGACATAGCTTTGGACCTTAAGTGTTAAGCCTCAACTGTCATTTCCAGTAAAAATCTGAATCCAGGAAAATCTGTATGTAAGGAGATATATTTGAATGGATCAGAACCTTCTAGAACAACGAATTGAGAACATTCACAAGGAATAAGCTCACAGGACTATATAACAATTCAGCTATGTTTTCAAGGAAACATGAAATGCTATCTATATTTGCATTTTCTGAAAATAGAATAGAGAAAATGGAATTCTCAGTAGGTCCAGTCAAGCATAACCAAAGATCCTGGGGAAATGTGTCTCTTTTATAGAGCTATCCATGAAGGCAGTCTTGCATGTCACTCACAAGTACTTTGTGGGAAAGAACTGAAATAAGAGCAGATTACCTAGGAATTCCTGAATCCAAAGCACAGACAGAAATAAGAAACCACAGAAAGATAGCAGAAATAACATCTAACTGTCCACTATTTGATATGTCTTTTAGAGAATATCTTCTACTCCATTAATACTTAACTTTTTAGATTCAATCCATGAAAAGCATTTCTCTCAACACCAAAGTTGCCATGGGGGAAAGTTATTCATATATACCTGTACATAATAGGGGGGAATATATTTTTAAAAACCCAGAGTCATTTTTTCTGCCTTTCTTTTAACAAACATTTTAAGTGAAGCAATATTGGAATTCAACTCTTTACACAGTACCTTACATAGTAAATGTTTAGATAGTGATTGTTAAATGAATCTTGGAAATATTTGAAACATAGGGTTTTGTTTTCTAAATGTGTATTTAACAGTCCACTTGAAAACACACATCTAGACGTCACACAGATGTCCACACCTGAAAATGCCCTCATGACATAGAGTGTACAGTAACTATTACAACAGAATAGACTAGAATGATGACAGTTTGAGAAAGTATGAAGGGAAATTCCAAACATTAATTTTTTTCCAAATATGGTCTTTTAATAGCTCAGATATCTTGGTTTCCATGGAAATTCCCAGTGTCTAGGAAATGAAATCTGTTATGACTTTGAAACTTTGACTTTTCTTCTCCACAACATCCACACGTAAATCGTAATCTTTTCACGTTCCTATAAATGCCACAGCAGCTGATTTAGACATGTTTGCCAAACCTCAGTGGAAAGCAGTATTGACTGTACTGTTCATCGTTTAGAGGGCAGCCCTAAAGCACAAGAACCAAAAGTGGGTCAAAGTACAGGTGATTCTCGCGCTAGCCCACACACATTTTACTAGCCACTGCACAAAGAAATCACACTGACAGCAATTCCTTCATCCTTCTTAGGGTCCTCCAGCTCTTTTTGAAAACCGATTCGATGTAATTGGGGAGGGGGCACCCCATTTTGGTCTATTTTTTTAATCCCTCTGAACTCAACAAGGGGGAAAATCTATTGTGTGTGGTTTGAGATTTACTTCCTTTCTTTCCTTCTTCCTTTCTGTCTGTCTGTCTGTCTGTGGTATGCACTTAAAACACAGGTAGAGAAGTAGAATGGATATCGTCTTACTCGGAGATTGTAAAATCATGTGAAGGCAATATAAAGTTTAACTTCACGCGCTCTTTTACCCGGTCGGTGCTTCTAAGAATCAAGCCAAAACTGACACGCAAAATAGAGCTCTTTCAAAAATAATTATCATATATAGGTAACAGATGGCAAAAAACACATTTTTCATTGAGAGCGTAACATTCCTTCATCAGCAACAAATTCCCACGGAATCTTTGCTCCTGTTTGTAAACAAGAGCTAGAGGCTGCGATGCTCAGGGCACCAGAAGGTACAAGGTGATGCGCGGAGCCCGAAGCGTTGGACAAGGGTTGTGTGGACAGGTCTTCCGCCAGAATCCCGTACCATCCTCCAGCCAAGAGAATCCCTGTCCGAACTCTTCTGCTTCCAGCCTTGGAGCCGGAGACAACCGCCCTCTCTTAACTTCAGGGCAGTTACCAAGGCATTCTTAAACCTCCTTCAACTCCCTACCCATGGCCAAGCACCCAGTACCCCAAGGCAGCTCTTGTGTCCTCGGGGGAGACCGGCCTGGCTGATGGCCCCCCGGGTGGCTGAGCCGATGAAGATGACGACCTGCACAGTGGTTGTGAACTGGCGGTACAGCTGCGCCTCGCTCAGCTCCCCGAGCGCGCTGCGGTTGGCGCCAGCCTCGGCGCCCGACGTGTTGCGCGGGTGGCTGGTGTTGGGAGACACCCAGCTGTTGTTGTGCCCCATAGCGAAGCCGGGGGCTTGAGCTCGCCCGCCCGGCCTCGGAACCGCGCGTACAGCCTCTGCTGCCCCGGCGCGGAGGGACCGACGCGCGGGAGCCAAGCAGCGTCCTGCAGAGCCGGACGGGCGGCGGGCCCCTCACGTCTGCTCATAGCCTAGCCAGCAGTCCGCGAGGAGGGGTGGGAGGGAGGCGCGGCCGCGCCCCATGCCTGCTCCCCCCCTGGGCCCGTCAGCAGCCACACGGAGGCGGCACGGTCACAGCGCATCGCTGGGCCCTCCTCCTGAGGGCAGGGGGGCACCC